CCCGCATAACCAACTACACTACAGGCTGTGGTAATCGAAACATCCCGGCACCGGCAGACAGACAGACACACAGACCAGCTGATTAACACAGCCCAGCACTCAGTCCTCGCTTACACGGTCAGTTGACCTACGACAAAGGAAGCAGGGATATACAGCGGGTAGAGACAGTCTCTTCAATACATGGCGTTGGGAAAACTGGTCACATGCAAAAAAATTGAAATTGGACCACTTTCTTACACCGTACACAAAAACAAACTCAAAATGGATTAAAGTTGTGAACGTGAGACCCGAAACCAGCAAACTCTTAGAGGAAAACATAGGCAGCAAACTCTTTGGCATCGCTCTCAGCAGTATTTCTTGGGATGTGTGTCCCCCGGCAAGGGAAACAAAAGAAACAAATAAATGGGACTACATCAAACGAAAAAGGTTTTGTACAGCAAAGGAAACCATCGACGAAAAGACAAGACAACCTGCTGAATGGGAGGATATTTCCCAATGACACATCCGATAAGGGGTTACTATCCAGACTATATAAAGACCTCATACAACTTAACACCAAAACCCCCCAAAGAATCCAAAAAAATGGGCGGAGGACCCGAATAGACATTTCTCCCAAGAGGACAGACAGGTGGCCAACAGAGATATGAAAAGGTGTTTGGCTTCACATGCAAATCCAAGCCACAACAACACATCGCCTCACAGGTGTCAGAACGGCTGTCATCAATAAGTCAACAAAGAGCAAGTGATGAGGACATGGAGCACGGGGACCCTCGTGCACTGTCAGTGTGACTGTAGATTGGCGCGGTCACTATGGAAAACACCGGAGGTGCCTCAAAAAATTAAAAATAGAGCTGCCATATGATCCAGCAGTTCCGCTTCTGGGTGTTTATCCAAAGAAATCCAAAACACTGACTCGAAAAGATCTGCACCCTGGTGTCCACTGCAGCTTTATTTACAGTGGCCAAGACGTGGAAGCGACCTAGGTGTCCGCAGACAGATGACTGGATAAAGGCCATGTGGTACACGTATACGAGGGACTACTATTCAGCAATAGCACAGAATGAAATCCTGCCAATTGCAGCAACGTGGATGGACCTAGAGGCCTATGCTAAGTGAATATGTCAGACAGAAAAATAAGTAATGTGTGATTTCACTCCATGTAGGATCCTAACAAGACACATAAATAAACAGAAACAGACCCACCGACAAGGAACATGCTGATGGTTGCCAGAGGGGACGGAAGTTGGGAGGATGGGAATAAATAGTAAAAAGAAAATAATTTTAATAAGTGGTAAAAAGGCAAGATTGCGTTATAGAACTAAAATAATAAAAATAGGCCTCATAGAAAAGCAGGTCAATTTGTTAAATGACTAATTTATACAAACACAATTAACAAGAAAAAGAAGACGATACAGCATCCTATAGTCTGAACGACTTACTTCCAAGAATTAATACACTACAGAGGGACAGAATCCACTATTCCCATCTTAAATGGTGCTAACTGAAGACGTTTGCTCCCGTTTGATCGGACTGCGTCATCAGAGACATGCGGGGTGGAGGCACTCACCGAGCTGAAGCTGAAGCCCACAGAGTGGATGTGCACTTTGCCGTAAATGCCCAGTGTGTCCACTTCCTCCGGGCGCATCCTGTGCGCGTAGAGCAGGACGTGCTTCCCATTCACGGCCACCTGCGCAGATGGCACCCGAGGGAAACTGTTAATAACCTAATTCGGTTCCCCACACTGAATCTGTCTACTCGGGTTTAATTTTGTTCATTTTCCCACAGGGCTCCACAGTCCACGTCTGACCAACGGTGACTGAAAGGAGCAGAATGTGTCCTCTTTCAACTTCCTGACCAGATTAAACGCCGTGGGTCCTCTCTCCAGAGCAGTCACACATGGGTGACCACGTGCCGATCCATGTGTTTACATAAATATGTGACATCCCGGGGTCCAGAGGCCTATGAACCCAGGGGAGAGACGCGCCCTGCAAGCTGCCACCCTCTGAAAGAGACCGCCTTGCACACGACAGGCACAGGAAATATTTGTTGAACTTGCTGAATAAATCAACACGGGAAGTTTCCCCAACTTCGGAGATGCTACTTGTGTAGGCCTAAAGCTCTCACTCACAAGGCTGCTGCTGTGAGCCAGGGCCACTGGCGTGTGTCTGCCAGCACAGGGCCCGATGCCCCGCAGGTGGCCAGCTCACAGGTCCGTGTGCCCTCCCTCCCATGCCAGGTCCTCACTGCCGGGAGAACACAGGCAGGAGCTCAAACTCCCAGAGGCGGGTGAAGTGAATACAGGAAAAATCCCAGGGCACAGGATCGAGTGCTACAACGAACGGCACAGAGACAAGGGTGCCAGGGCCAGAGGAGCGGGGTGACTGGAGTTCAGGAGACTGAGGGGATCAGCAGAGGCCTGGTGGGCGCAAGGTGCCCACCAGACATGGAGCCGGCCTTCGAAGGTGGTTTCCAGCCCGGGAGGCTCTGCAGGCACGAGGATCAGCGAGGGAAGCATCCCTGGGACTAAAGCCACCTCACCTGCACAGGTGCGGCACGCTCAGGGAGGCCGGCAATAGTATTTCCTACACGCAGGATCTGAGGCCCTTCTGGGTCTGCAATCTGGTCCTAAAGAACCATCTGGTGGCAGGACTTCAGCTCAGACCGGACTCTGACTTTTCCACTAGGGTCCCCATCTGTCCGTCAGCTCCAGATTTACTATCCCATAATTAATACAGTGCTGGGCCCATTCAGAAATGGGCCCGGCCCTGCCAGGAGCTGTATGACCTAATGAAGAAATGTGGCTGCCCTAGACCTGGTTCCCCATGGCAACGCCTCACATTCAGGTACCTGCCTGGCCTCTACGTCACAGAAAAGCTAGAAAGCCAAACTCTCTAGATTTAAGAAATGTCAGTGTGAGTTCACTAATGTGAAAAGCTTCCCATGTCTTATTCTCATGAATGAAGGTTTGACTTTCACACTCCAAACCCACCTGGAATTTGTCTTCCAGCACCAGAATCACAATTTCAAAAGACTTTTCTTTCTTGAAAGGCATGTCGTAGGTGATCTCTTCCCGTCCCCATCTCTCATTTTTCAGAGTATTGCAAACAATGCAGTTGGACCTTTTGAAACGTGGGTTGAAATGAAAGACCACGTCAGCCCGAGGCTTCACACTGCTGCCATTCTGGAGGTCCACCTGGAATCTGAGGACAGAAACATGGGCGACCCGAGTAGTCAGACAGGAGGGCGGCGAGCAAGAGCCCAACAGCACGAAGATCCAGGCCGAGGGCCACGCGGCTGGGTCTCTGCTCGTTCGCCTGAGGCCAGAAGAGCTGGCTGCCTGATCTTCCTTTCCTTCCTCAGCAACAGCCCCCGAGCTGTAGCCGGGGCCACGTCTGTCTAGAATAGGATGCTCCGTCTCCGGCCTCCCCCGCAGGCAGACGTGCACGCGGCAAACCTCTGCCAGCCAGGCAGAAGCGAAGTGCTCGGTGCGACTGCTGGAGACTGCCTTCAAACCGCTGGTGTCTGCCTGCCTTTTGTCCCTCCCTGACCCTCCCTCCAGACACCACATGCACCCACCCCGCTACCCAGAGGGCTGGAGTTCCTGTTTCTAACAATTAGGAGAAAGGACGCGCCCTGTGAAGAGCTGGAAGAAGCCCGCTTCTTTAACGACTTGGTGGAGCTGCCTAAGACGCCTGGGCTGCCTCTCTCAGACTGGACGTCCACATCTTAAACCACTGTCACGTGGGCGTCAGCCACTCCGAACTGAACCCAGCTCTCACCGACACAGCCTCATCCACAGTCTGTGCCCGAAGCAGCATCAGGTCAAACCGCCTGAAACAGGACTTCGGAGATGCTGTGGGGGTGACACTTAGACTCACTCAGTCCTCTGACCACAGTTCCCCTCATCAACTATACGTCTAATTCTTTATACTGAAATCAGACTTATAAAAATCCAAATAAGCTTTATTTCAGCCACTCAGCACCTGGGCCCTTCCAAAATCAGGCCTCGAAGCATCAAAATGTCTCCCACGTTATTTTCTGTTCTACAGTCATGGAGACATCTACTCATGTTCTTTTTTCATCTAACAGGAGGATTTTACCTGTCCGAGTCACCAGGAACATGCCCACGTATCACAATCAAAGTTCCAGGCTCCAACTGTTCAGGGATGGTCCCAACATAGGGGATTATCTAGGAAACATAATTTTAACAAATGCACTTTTACATAAACAAGATTGAAAGACTACATTCTTAAAGGCTGCACACAAATCTCAGAAGCCAGCATCACCCAAGCTGTCCTCACTATTCAGACAGCGACAGGGGAGCAACACGGCCAGGGTATTCGCAATATCTGCAAACTGAGTTCTTTGGGAAAAGGCCCAAGATAAATACTACTCACAGTACTTTTTATGTGGCTGGGAGTTTCGTAAAAATAAAAATTCCACTTAATAGAATAATTCAGATAATAGAAAAACTTATCACAATGTCAGGCCCCGCCTCTCTTTTTCCTAACGTTCCCTTGATGAACCAACAGCAGGATCAAGACCATGCTAAGCTCTGAGCAATGAGGACAGTCTCTGCCTGGAACACGGGAGCCTAACCTCTGGGCTTCCAGGCTGCCACCCCCGGGGCACTGCTGGCAGTCAGGGGCCTTCGTGGCCTCAGGGATGAGCTCCGGGGGGGGCCTGGCGCTCTCTCAAGACATGGCGCCCACCGACCCTGGCCTAGTCTTGTGTGCAGGCTTGGGCTCCGACAGGTGTCCCATACATAATCCGGGTCCCATACACATCCGGGTCTCCACCTGCCCCCTCACTACCTGGAACCCAGCCCTTCTGTCTGCGGCCTGACACACTCAGACCTTGTCAATCCCCTTCCCCTGAGGTGACGCTGGTGGCTGGGGACCTGTGCTATGTGGCTGCTTCTCCTCCCTCTCGACCATCTCTCTCTTCCACTTAGGAGCACCTGGCCCAGCTAAGCAGGCCAGACATCATCACGCCTCACACCGAGCTCAGTCAAGTTACGGCATACGTGAAATCTGCCTGAGGTAGAACTGACTGACAAGTAAGAAAACAAGAGAGGCCATCTCAGGTAGCTGTAAATTGGTGGCTCTTAGGCTAGAAAGCTCGGCTCAAGCCCAACGTCCTCTGTGGAGCCCGGGCGGCTGACGGAGCCGGTCCCCCCGAGGGGCCGCTC